AAACCGTCTGTCGCTAAGTACCGACACAATTTGCGACCGATGTGTTAGTCGTAAATACTGTACGACACATTAACGACAGAAATAATGTAATCGCATAATAAACGCGATAGATTTGCGATTGATTCGGTGAGTCGCAATATTAGGTAGACACGTGTTTGGTGTGTCACCTAATTTCTGTCGCAATTCTATCATCGGTTTGTCACAAAATATTTACGACAGAATTTTCGGTTGCAAGTCCGTCGCAATATAAGTTCTATAAAACCACAGCGCGAGCCAAGATAACAAAATAAAAAAAAAAATTTCACCAGAAAAAAATTTCTCTTACAAAAAAATGTTTTTCTCATCCAGAATGTAGATGTATAATAGATTTGATTCTTCTAATAATCAAATCTCCAGTGAGTTTGCTGAAGGGTTACAACATTTTATGGCGTTTGCAACAAGTCAAACGTCGTACGTTGAGAGTTCGAAATTACCATGTCTGTGCTCAAAATGCGAGAATAAAAGATGGCGAAGTCAGTATGAAGTTTGCAAGCACCTATATAAAAGAGGTTTTATGTCAAACTATTTTGTTTGGCTTGCTCATGGAGGAACGTATGATACGTCATCTTCATCACATGTTTCACAAATGCAAGAACAACTTCTGCAAAACACGGCGCACCTTCGATCTTTCAAGAAGATCAAGACCGAAATCTATATGTAGAGATAGTGAATGATGCATTTCCCAACATTGCTCCTTCTCCATATATGGAGGAAGAGCCAAATGTTGAAGCGAAAAGATTTTATGATATGCTTAACACAGCGAACACTCCGATATATGAAGGTTGCGTACAAGGACTGTCAATATTATCATTATCTTCGCAATTGATGAATATGAAGACTGACTACAATCGTCCGGAGAGATGCATGGATGGATTCAGTCAGAAGGTAACACTGCAACAAAATCATATTATGAGACGAAGAGTCTGATGCGTACGTTGGGTCTACCTTACCGAAAGATTGATGTTTGTGAAGACAACTGTATGACTTTTTGGAAAGAAGATGCAGAATTGATGGAATGTCGTTTTTGCGGGAAAGCCAGATATCGACCACGTTGGATAGCTTCAAAGAAAGGCAAGTTAATTCCTTTGAAGAGAATGTTTTATATGCCTATAACAGATCGTTTGAAAAGGTTATATCAATCCGAAAAGATAGCATCACATATGCGGTGGCATGGCGAACATTTGACGCCTGATGGAGAAATGCATCATCCATCCGACGGTTTAGCTTGGAAACACTTTCAACAGGTATTTCCTGATTTTGCAAGTGAGGCTAGAAACATATATCTAGCATTATGCACGGATGGATTTAATCCATTTGGGATGTCTGGTCCAAATTATTCTCTATGGCCGGTGATTTTAACACCTACAATTTACCTCCGGACATGTGCATGAATAGAGAGTTTTTATTTCTCTCAATATTAGTTCCAGGACCTAACCATCCTAGAAGGAGTTTGGATGTTTTCCTTAACCCGTTGATAGAAGAGTTGAAAGACCTTTGGAGTATTGGGGTAGAGGCGTATGACGTGTCAATAAAGCAAAATTTTTTGCTTCGTGCCGTACTGATGTGGACAATTAGTGATTTTCCAGCATATTCGATGTTTTCTGGTTGGACAACGCATGGTCGTCTAGCTTGTCCGTATTGTATGGATGAGACCGATGCATTTCGGGGCCTGTATCAATCGAAGAACACGTCTGATCACGAAAGGCAGGAAGATTACCTCGCCCTCTACACGTATGCACACCTCAGGATGGATTCCAACGATTGGAACTTGTCTGCTAGGACTCGAATCTCTATTCGGTTTTTGCACTTCGAGAAAACGAGACTTAGAACT